GATCAAGCCGGCGTCGTGGTTGTGGCTGTGTATGTCGGGACGGTACTGGTTATGGTTGTAGACGCAGGGCGCAGAAAGGCGGCGGGGAGTGGCAGTGCTGCTCGACACGTCGTGGGCTCGTGGCTGCTTCCTAGGTTGAGGAAGGAGGATCCGCCGTCTGGTAAACAGAATAGGAGAGACGTGGATGCGATTGATTTATGTTGCCTTCTTTGCCACCGGCATCGTCGCGCGTGGGAGAGGGCATGCAATTTATGTTTCCTTTTTTGCCGGGAGAAATCATCGTGCGGTGGTGGCGGTTACCATTTTGACCGGGCAAAATCATCGTGTGGGCGCCTGGTTTCACACGCCGGGTAATCTTCACCCGCTGGAAAGTTTTCGCACGCCGGGCGACGATTCCTATCGGTAATTTTTAGTTGCAGAGATTATCACCATTGTCCTTCATGGCCTTGAGAACAATCTCCTCCGTGAAACCCATGTCCATATACTTCTGAACCAAAGAGCCAGATGGCCCAGCCTTCCCAATGCCATTAGCAACCCGTGTCGATGGGCCTGGAGCATCAGTGTTCTTTGATGTCAGAGCTGATGATCCGTCACCAGCAGCGTTGAAGCTCGCTGCCTCCTCCCATCACTTTTCCATTCGAACTTGTCACTGCCATTACTGCCGCTAACGAGGCTAACCCAGTGCACTATTCCTGAACCTTCGCAAAGGGCTCCGGGGGCTGCCTCTGCCGTGATCCCTCTGACCCTCTCGTCTTCCTCGGCCCCGGCGCGGCCGGAAGCTGCTGCGACGGATCCGGGGGCTTCCTGTTTCTTTCCACACGGGCCAGATTCCGCACACCTGCACTCCCATGGGCACGGTCCAGGCTGCCCTATACAACTAGCCTATCCAGGCCCAGGCTGCACTGTATCTTTACTCCTATCCTTTCCTAATATATACTTCCCCCCTCGCCCCTCCTAATACAAAATTCAAAATTTCCCCACGCTGAGTAAACAAGACGCTGAGTGGGCTTACGAGGAGCTTATACATGTTTTTGTGCAGGATTCTGGCTGAACACGTCAGTAGGAAGTACCTCACCCTGCTTGTCAATGCAATGGTCCGGTGCAGCTATTTCCTTGTTGCCGAGTCTTCATCATTCAGTGCTGATCTGGTGCATAGATTCTGTGCCTCTACGTTAGAGCAATGCGTGAACGCGCAAATGATTCAGCATTTGCTGGCAGTATGTGTCACGATGCGACTGATTTCCTTTTGCTATTCACCAAATCAGTGTGCTATATATACTAGCTGGTTAACTGCGACATTATGTTTTTTTCATTCCTGGTGGCAGGTTGCTCGCAAGATTTGCTCTTGTGTGGATTTGAGTTGGGGAGGGAGCGCAAGGCTTTTGCTTGATCTGTTAAAGTGCACCACTGATTCTGTTATGTTTAAAGTTAAAAATCCAATACTTCATTTCCATTGCTGCAACTTGAAATCTGTAATTTCTCTACCATCTAGTTTACTGATACCATTTAAAGGGTACTCCTAGATGGATTTACTCAACTTACTCTGATGAAAAGTATAAGTCCATTAGTACATCATCATGGTCTCCAACGTATCTTGACAAGCAATATTTATAATAGTATATTATGTTGAATGCAAAGAATTATATACTAATGGACCTATGGGGTTGCGGTTATAACGGTCTATTCTTTCTCTCTTTAATACAAAAATATACGTACCTTGGGTGAGAAATCTGCTGCTCCAGGGACAGGCGGCGCCGAAAGGGATCTCTGCTGCTGCACTGTAGCCGCTGCAGGGGCAGATGCCGAAATGCTCCCATGCCGCACTGTAGCCACAACAGAGGCAGACGTCAAAGTCAGCCCTACTGTCACATCTAGGCACTGTAGTAGCATAACAGCCTGACATATCTATGTACTAGGATTAGATGGGTAGAGTTGTATATATAGTTTGTCACTGCAACTCAGTAAAGAGAGCGAGTTCAGTTTTGCCATCTCATCTACAGAGCTCTGGCCAACGCTGATGCTTGTGCTATGTGTGTGCTCTGTTCTCCCTCCCTTCTTTTACCTCTAGCCATAGTGTGTGGTCACCAACGATAGTCTGTGGTCGGCTCACCCGTGTCGAAGATCCAAGGAGCCAACATAGGTCTCCTTTGTGTTCGAGAAAAAAAAAACATTTCAAATATATGTAGGGTTAGGCGCTTTTACAGATGCGCATACATAGAGAAACATTCTCCAATATTGAATTTGAAAAAATGGATGTCGCTATACGTATTTTGTTCAACAAGCGAACAATCTTACCAAACACTGTTTCTTTCCATCTTATCTTAGGGGGTGTTTGGTTTCTCCTCCTAAACTTTAGTCGCTGTCCCATCGGATGTTTGAACACATACATGGAGTATTAAATATAGACTAATTATGAAACTAATTGCACAACTTACGACTAATTTGCGAGACGGATCTTTTAAGCCTAATTAGTCCATGATTTGACAATGTAGTGCTACAGTAAATATGTGCTAATGACGGATTAATTAGGCTTAATAAATTCATCTCGTGGAGTACTGACGGATTCTGTAATTTATTTTTTTATTAGTATCCGAACACCCCATGTAACACCCTCACGTGACACCTCCTAATTTTAGTCACCGGATCCAAACACCCCCTTATATATATGCTGGATTACAATTTGCTTTGACATGTAGGGTGACCTTGTTCAGTAGTATGTTATTCTGTTAAGACTCATATAGCATCGAGTCTTAACTGTGAGCATGAATTACTTATATTTGTTGTTGAGATTGAATCTTCCAGTTACGTACCATTTGGTCATGTTTAAGTAATCTATGTCTCAGTAATAGATCTGTTTGCAGTTCTGAATGTCTGATGAGCTAAGTCATTTTCTAGACACAAAACTTTGTCTCACATTAGATTTCTAGTGTACCTATTGCTCTAGCGTATGCGCCTCATATAATGTTTGCACTAAGTGCTCCAACAACTCCATGTAGTCTTTCCCTTTCCATAATGGGCCTTTTACTATCAAGACGTCATTACCTGCTGTAACATAATGCCAACTTTTTTCAGGCTGACTTACCAAAAGCTATTAATGAGTTTCTTGTATTTGTGGCATATGTTTCTCGGTGCTTCCTTTCTGTAAATAGGGACGGACGTCTTGGCGCTTCTGAGCTACTCTATAAATAAGGCGGTTATTTCTCTAAGGTACATGCTGCATTGTTTTATAGGCATTGAATTTTCATTAAAAATACCATACTAGTTCTAGAATTGTTTCGTGTAACACAATATCTTTCGATGTTCAGGTTTCCTCTCCTACTGCCTCAGTGCTTCTCCTTTATGCTACTGGATTATACTTCAGTACCCAGGAAATGGAAAGTCATGAGCGCCTTTGTATATTTGCACATTTTCTGATGAGGACATCTTCACGCTGGACACACCGACGCCATGGTCTTTCCCAAGTTGCAATTCGTTCCCAACTCAGCTGCCACGTCACCCTCGGATTCAGCAGACACGTCGTCACTGTTTCGGTCATAACTTCCTCATACGATGTCGAAACGGGTCGTTCTTGGATGCGTTGGAAAGGGGACGACGACGCCGTCGTTTTGGATCTGGTCCCAGCTCCAGAAGGTCCGTGGATCATTCTGTGTGACCACGACAAGGTGCTGCGTCACCTATTTGGGCCAACTTGGCCATGTATCGTGTCGGGCCTTAAGCCCAAGTTGTGGGCGCCCAACCCCTGGCCGTCCCCAACCCTAGGTCGAGTCTTAGACTATAAACACAGCCGCCACCGCTGCTACACAATTGGGTTTTTGTTTAGAGTTTAGTTTTCCATCGAGAAACCAAATCGTTCATTGTAACTGTGGTGACAAATCCTTTTCTGAAGTGATCCGGGGCCCCGTTCTTGATCTCCTCCACTGTGTCGATTAGTCCTTTGGAACCGAGTTCTTGAACCCTCTATTGATATTCGCGTCATTCATATTTGCAATTTCAGATTATGTGTTTTACCTTCTTGCTTGTGCTCTTGATTAAGCTTGCGGGAAAAAGCCTTCTTGGCGAGGTCAATCAAGTTGTGCTTGGTTGATAACCAACGGAGCGGTGGTGTATACGTTGCAGGGTTCAAATCGTGTCGATTTGAAGTCTGGATCGCCAACGTCGAGATCTCCACAAATCGAACTTACTGCTACCTCTCGGAAGATCGGGCTGTACTCATCAATTGGTATCGGATATTTCGGGTTTACCGCGAGGTATAATCTCGTTTGCCTTAGATTCATATTTGTTCATTACCTAGAGTCCACAAAAAGCCCAAAAATATTTCAATTTCCGCTGTCCTATCGCCCTTTGTGCCTTTGCAATTTCGTTTCAGATTCGTGTTGTTGAGTTTGTGTCCGTGGTCGAGTCTTGTTGCTGGTTTAGGATTGTGTTCGTGGTCGTAGTTCAATCGCCCGTTGCTGTGATTTTGTTTTCCACCGCTATACTCATCATTTTCTCTATGATGAAAAGTATGTAAAAGCTTTAAACGAAACACTTAGCACTCTGGCACAGTTCTTTGATGTTATCTATGGAAGATCCATTACACTAGATGGCTCTGCAAAGGAAAGTTCATTGATGCACCAGTGTCATTCGAATAAGAAGCACATTTATTCTCAGTCAAATGATAATATATCTCTCATGGCATATTTGGATTCTTTAGAGTTCGTTTGCAAGATTCTATTGCAACATACAAATGCGGTTTGGAAGAACTTCTCTGAAGGAAAAGCAATATGTTCTTCTGGAAACTTAGCCTACGTCTTAACAGCACTGAATCAGTTCATTGATTCCAGCCTTACAGCTTATAGGTAGGTTTGTACGGAAGAAGTATTGGCACTGTAATAAATTCATGCATGTGAGGAAGTTAGGGAGTAATGCTTATTGCAGTTATTATGGATGTATTATTGTTGGAACTGGCAATTATCCCTTATTTCACACGCTGTTCTTTGTGCTGTAACAGCTGTGCAAAAATGTCAGAAGAAGACAAGGAGAGATTACATGAACATCGTGGAACCTTACTGGATGTCCTTGTTTCAGCAATCAAAATTTCCTTTGCTACTACCAAAGCTGTCCAGGTAGCATAGTTGCCTTTTTTTTAATATTTATGTTTGAGCCTAAATATTAAAGAAAAGGCAACTACTACTCGGTAGGAGGAAGATATTAGTTTGGAAGGTCAAGTAGTGCCTAGGAAGGATATCTTTCGATATTTAGGATCAATGCTACAGAGAGACGGGGATATTGATGAAGATGTTAGCCATAGAATCAAAGCAGGGTGGATGAAATGGCGCCAAGCATCTGGTGTCCTATGTGACAAAAAGGTACCACAGAAGCTAAAAAGCTAGTTTTATAAGACGGCGATTAGACCTGTTATGTTGTATGGTGTAGAATGTTGGCCTACGAAAAGGCAAGTTCAACAGATAAGTGTCGCGGAAATACGTATGTTGCATTGGATTTGCGGTCATACAAGAAGGGATCGAGTTCGGAACGATGATATACGTGATAGATTAGAGGTAGCACCAATTGAAGAAAAACTTGTCCAACACCGGTTGAGATGGTTTGGACATGTCCAACGGAGACCTCTAGAGGTACCGATGCATAGTGGAATCTAAGCCAGGACAGTAACGTGAAGAGAGACAGAGGAAGACCGAAGTTGACTTGGGTAGAGGCAATAAAATGAGACTTGAAAAGATGGAATATACCCAAAGACTTAGCCTCAGATAGGAGTGCTTAGAAAACAACTATTCACGTGCCTGAACCTTGATTGCTTCTGCTGGGTTTCAACTCTAGCCTACCCCAACTTGTTTGGGACTTAAAGGCTTTGTTGTTATTGTTGTTGTATTTATGTTTGAGCCTGATCAATTTACACTGACAGGCCATTACACATTGCCTTTGCGTCTTGTGCACTAACAAAAACGATGGTTTTGGCCTGCACAAGTGTTTATGTTAAGAACTCTTTTTATTACATCTGCACGGGTAAAATTGCTTGAATATAGTCCTGTATGGATGCTGTTTGTGGAAATTGGCTGCTAAATTACTTTCTGTTATTAATTTTCTTGGACTATCCCTATTACCTGTTAATGCCTTCTATTTTCATACAGAAGAGTCTATCATCCGTCTGCCTTGCCATTTCAAGCTCATGGTTAATGTTTGAGGAGCTCAAATTTTTAATATCTACACTCAGCAACATTGGCATGACACTTTATAACATTAGACAGTTTGAGGAGGTACCTTTTCAGAGTTGATGACCTTCTTTTTATAATATTCTATTACTATAAGATTGAATACCATTGTTACTGCTGTAGGCACCAAAGGTATTAGAGGTTTGCTGCCAAACAGTATGGGTGTACGTCAGACAATCTTACTGCAGACTATCAACAATAACAGAAGGGGATGTAATTACTGAAGTCCTGCCAAAGGATACATTGAAGGATATCATTGTGGATGCATTTATGAGGATTGCAAAGATGGTTGATGTTCTCCATAGATGTGGCGCAAAAGTTAAATGTGAGATTGTTGTGAAGAGCCTATTACTGTTGGTCGATGGTGACATGTCTGAGTATTTGAGTGGTTCTTTGGCACTGATCAAATTGTGGGTTAAGGTAATAAACTATTTTACTGTTTGCAACACTTCATTGGCATGATTTCATTTATCCCTGTTTTTGAAACTATAGACTACATAAAAAGATTTTGAGGATGCTCAAGACACGGCTGGTGCTCCACTTCTCTTTGACTCCCTTTTAGCATACCCCTCTCCCTTGTCAAAGAAGTTGTTAGGCTTAATTGTAGAGCAGGTATTGTATTTGGACTAACTGTGGTGCATCTTAATTGTTTTGTTTTGAGGCTAAATTCTTTGGGCAACATTGTTCTTCTCAGGAGGAGTTAGCATTTGGATCAATGGAACCTCAAGGTACAATATTCTGTGCTCAAATGTGCTCAAATGCAAATAAGGATCTTAGATATTCTCTTGGATGAAATATACTCTTCAGAAGAATATTTTTTGGAGAGATCAAGGGTTCTTATTAGAAAGGCAGGTGTACTTCGTTCATCTGGTATGCAAAACATAAGCAGCTGCCTCGAGTTTTTATCAAAAGCCATATTGTTACTAGCGGTGAGTTTGAATCACTTAATACAGTTCTAATTTATCCAGAAAAAGAATATTTACGATTAATTTTTATTCATCAAATCAGCAAAACATCACTTCGGATTTATCTCAAAGAAATTCAACTGCGATCAATCAATTGGCTATTGCACACTGCTTGTATGCACATTGCGCTTAGGAGGGCAATGATGATAAGGAGGAAGGCAATGATGATAAGGTGACTACTGAAAATACTAGCTGTGTTCTCGTCTTAATGAAATAATATGCAGCTCTCCTGGGTTGTTCGAGAAAAAAGATACTAGTGTGTTTACTAAGTATATTATCCTTAAGAGGTCACTCACTTATACATTTAGTAAAATGTTGCAACATATATGTGATGTTTTTTTAATGGTTGTTATGTGTGAATAGGAGGTACTTGGTAATGCTAGGAGTGCACTTGATTGGTGGGCAAAGCTGGAAACTTCTGACCATTCTTCTCCTAGTGTGATCTTTCAACAGCTATCTAAAACTGTCGTGCCACTTGTTTGTTCTATGATTGATTTGATGTCAATTAAGGTAAGTTCATGATATATTTTCGACTTATGAGGTTGAGTGAGATGCAAGTACTTTCCTTCAGTAACATAATTATGCATATTTACTCTGCCATCACAGGGATGTTTTAAGCTTCAACTTGACTTTTGCAAGCAATTGATAGTGATATGGAAGAAAGAAAGCTTATCTCATGAAAATATATTTTCCTTCTTGTTCACAAGTGGGCGCCTTAGTCATGCATGCTGTCATCTCCCAATGGACCCAGAAATTGTTTCTAATCTCGCACAGAATTTTTCTATTGATTGCTATTGTATTGAATTTTGGAAGAACTGTTTCAAAGGAGACCATCCTTCTCTATCTATGTTCCTTCAAAGGATGTTTCCCACTGACTTGTTTTTTTCTCAATCATATGAACATTTAAATGGAACGAAGTTTAGTTTTAATTTGAGTGTTGATGAAGTCAATAATGTTGCATCATCTCTTGTTTTTGAAGTAAGTTCTGTTGCATCACACTAAATTAGTAACCATAGTCTCTAATTAATGTTTTCAGTTCTGAATCCTGTTTTAGTTTTATTTTTTAATTTTATAGGTTACTTCAAGTGGCAAGTCAATCTTCATAGCTGGATGTCTATATTATGATTTGTCAGAAAAGTTTTTATCAGGAGGCCATATTTCTTAGGCAATGACAACAATTTGGCCTTCTATATTTAGTTGTGAAACACTAGCGCAAAATCCTTTGTGGTTATGAGTTAATTCTAGATTGTGGAGTTGGTTAATATTTTAGCTTGCATGTAGTGGTAACACCCAATGTTTTTTTACAAGCCTTTTCATATGGAAAAGAAGCCCTCAATTTGCGCAAGAAACTCCTAAAAAAGGAATTCAAACTTAATCTGGGCAGGATTGGATGCAGGGCAAGCCAGTGTTATGGTGAGCAAAGTTCTGTGCCCCTCGAAGCATGGGGACCAACAATAACTAGAATTTGGCCTGATTCCACCAGATCAACCAGCATGAAAGATTCTTTGCTTACTCCATGGAATGTACTTAGATGCTATCTTGAAAGCACTTTACAAGTATGGTCTAACCTACCGCAGTTGTATAGAAATCTGGCACTCTGGCACTATCGCAACAATTTCTTTATGTATGATGCTCATTATTTGATGTATTCAGGTTGCTATGATACATGAATTGATTAGTAATGCCGCTGAAGCAGAAGTTCTGTTACAGACAGGAAAAGAGATATCTCATTTCCATAGGTTACCGGTTCTCCATATTGCTTTTACGTCATTGCTAGGTATAATATCACATTTCATTGGGTTGCCCGTTTTCTCTATTGGTCCTTTTGTCTCACATTACCTGGTTTTATTTCAGGTCAATTGTACTGTAAGCAGAAGCTCTGGGACAAAACTAAGAGTGAGCTTAAATATGCCTGGGATTATCTTGCAGAAAATGACGCATTCATTTCATGCAAACTATGTAGTCTGACTCTATATATCACTTGACATGAAAGATGGAGATTTCCAGGAACAGCTTACAGGCAATTTGTCTAGTGCTTTATGCATATACCAGTCTATCATTGAGAAATTGGACAACACTCAGTTTCTTGAAGGAATCTCTGATTGCCATAAACCTGGTTGTGACAAAGATTGTATTGCCAAAACCAAGTGTGAAGCTTATAACCATGGTAAAGAACCATTAAGTGCAAAGGATGATGTTTTACCCACATGCATTATCTGTGTATTGTTGAGACAAGCATCAATTGACCACTGCAATGAACAAGCGATATTAAATTCTCGAACAAAAAACTCTGAAGCCAGGCCACCATTGGATTCCAAAGTCAAGAGTGGATCAAGGTATCCATTATGTTCAGCTAAGGAACAGAATGTGGAGACTCGTGTAAAAACTAGTGAACTCTCAAGTAAATAGTTTGCACATGGGAAAGGTGAAAACATTTTAACAGAGATAAATTGTAAAAAGGATGTATATTGGAACAATGAACTGCCTTTTGATGCTTTGATTAGTGGAAAAGCAAGCTATTATCTTGATGGTATTGATTGCAGCAAAGATGACATATGCGATATGATTGGATGTTGAAACTGTCTGTTGGTTAAATCACTCTATTCCTGTTCCATTCAGAATATTTTACAGTTCAGAGTGAATTGTGTTCGTCGGCGCTAACTTTTGCCACTACTATTAAAAAGAGGTACATTATTTTTAGTTTATGTTCTTTGTTATATGTGCAGTTGTGGGATTATCATTAGCCACGAAGGCTATAAGCTTGCATGAATTCGAAGTATAAATCACACCCTTGGATATGTTGTTTACTTGTTCATTCATATAGTTGCTCGGTTCCTTGTTTTTCCTTTTGCAGCTAGAGCCTTGGGAGCTCACGGTGGAAGACATGAAGTTCACAATGTTTATTGGCAGTGCATATCACTGTTGTACTTCAGATCACTTCCAGAGGGTTGTTATAGAACCTATGGGCCTCATCTAATTTCACTAATTATGAATGGGAATATTGGTGATTATCTTCCTTTAGAGCGTGCAGAAATACTACACAGTTTGAGCTTTTTTCCCTAATAAAAGGCTCCCTTCCTGAACAGTCTAGGTTATTCCATTGACTGCCCATTATGTGTGACTTTCTGGTTGTTCCAGTTTACAACACTTTCTAAATTGTCTATATTATGTCACCATCTGCAGTGATGTCTGCTGTATCTTCTCTACTGTTGGAATGTCTTGTGTGGTTCCCTGGTTGCTGAAAGCTTTTGTTCTATCTGGAGAAAGCCCATCACTTTTTCAGAAGGTGTGTAATATCCTTTAATCTTGCGGTCTTGTAATGTGGAATAGCTATGAACGCCTAGTGTTTATGTATTTAGTCTATTCTTTTTCTTGAGCTACAATTGAAGTCAGTCTGTCAATTTCATAGTCTTTAATTGATCGCCTGGTTACTGCTGGTGGCTCTTGTGTTGAGATCTAGATTTCTTGTCTCAGGTTTGCAGGTTACTTGTGTGTGCACTCTTACTATCAACAGTAAAATCCTCAATCCAGTTGCCTTTATGTTTCCAAAGCTCTGTTCTCTCTTTGGATCATTGGTCTGCATACTTTCATTAGATTTCTATTGGAACTCTCAGTTGCCATTACCTTGCTTCCTTACAGGTATTACTCAGAGAAAAGGTTCCAAAGTTTAACAACCAGAATAAAATATCTTTGTCTCCAATCTTTACTTAATTGTTTTACTAATTTTTTTAGGGCTCCCTTACAGATTCCATATATGAGACAAATGAGTGCGCTTCAAAATTACTTAGGTTAAAATTTATATTGCAGCTGAAATCTTCATTTTATTGTATTTGTGGGCATATAGTGAAATTTAAATTTCTTCACCAGGTGTCCATTAGCAGACATTGAACATTTTTTGTAACCATGTCAGTGAATTCTTCGATAAACTGCCGGATGTGCCAATCGTGTGTATTAGCATGCTTGGAGATGATTATGTGGATGTTATTGAGAAAAATCTTTGTTCCTTTTTTCCTGCTTGGATGTTGCTGTCAAGGTTTGATTCAAAAAGTAAACCTACTACGATGCTTCTGCCGGCGGTTGCTCTTTTAGAAGGTGTGTAGCTTTTTATATTGTGATAACATACACTATCGTAAATAAATTTAGATCTTCTGTGCTTCTATTTGCATGTTATTTCTCTACAGAAATGCAGTTTGAAGGTTCTATCAAAGATTTGGTAATCCATTGAGCGTTTCAGATAAGAAGTGGCAGTGCCCTTGGGGCGTTGCAATTACAGACCATGTGGCTCCAACTTTTAGAAGTATACTTGAGGAGAATTTTATGTCCCTATATAGTGCATCTCTCACTATAAATGATGGATCAGTAAACTGTGTTAGTTGGTGGTCACATAGAATGAAGCTCAACAACTACCTTGATAAGCTACTGAAGTAAGATTCGTTATGTTAGTGTATAACTGAATTGGTTCCATAGTTGGAATATAATTGTGTCAAGATATGATTGCACATTAGTGTTTGTTTGTTCTGATATCATTTTTCATTGCTGTAAGCAGAGACATCGAAGAATCATGGTTGGGGCCCTAGAAATGTCTCCTATTGGGCCGCCAATCTGCTAATAAACACATTGAGTCAACTTTGTCAAGTATTGTTTTTTTAACCTAAAATACTACATGGGAGGCCCCCGCAGTAAAGTTTTTATTTAAAATAAAGCAAAGCCCAACAACTGTTCGAGAAACAATAAGGAGAAGAACTGTACAAGAGCAGAAGGAAAGAAGAGGGGTCCGAGGTGGAGCAGAGAAGAATGACAACCCCACAACTGAAAAAGGGAGAAAGCCAACAACACTAGACTAGGACTGCTAAAAGGAATAAGAAAATTGCTCTTTTAGAGTCACAGAGTCTAAGAGCTTGTAAATTAGCTTCATCCAAAAAACTTTGCTTCCAGGAGCTAAAGGAAGGGCGACCACGATCAAAGATGAAATTGTTCATCTGCTTCCAGATTTGCCAAGCTCCAATGATGAAGATCTCCATGAAGAAAGGGCTCTGAAATTGCTGCTTAGCTTGAATCAACATATGAAAGAAGTCCATGGAGAAATCCCAATGGATGCCAAGGTACTGCCAACAAGCTTGGCTAAAAGGACAACTGAAAAAGAGGTGAAAGGCAGTTTCCTCCAAATTGTTGCTGCAGAGTATGTAATTGTAGTTATTTCCTTCTAGCTTGTGCTTTTTTCTTTTGAGGATGTTCCTTGTGTTGAGCCTATCCATTAAAAGAAGCCAGGAGAATACCCTGAGCATATTGGAACATCTGGAATCCAAACCCAGATGAACGGAGCAGGAGGTTGGATGTTCTTGTAAGGGAGATTGTAGAACTTTAAGGAAGAGTAAGTCTTGTTTCCCTAAATGTATTGCCAAGAATCTTTTGTATTGTGATGAACTTGAATTGTTTGAATATAATCTTGAATGCTTTGAAACTCTTGATATGCTTGTTCTGAGATAGGGAGATGAAACTGGGTCTCCAGGGAGTTGTTTGACAGAACTGTGCAACTGTGATATTCTTATTCTTTGCGAAGGAGAATAGTCATGGGTATTTAGTTTGTAGGATGTTGTCATTCCAGAGATCAGACCAAAAGAGGACAATAGAGCCATCTTCAATTTTACATTCAGCAATTCCTCTGAATAAATCACAAAGTTTTAGGATATCCCTCCACCAAAAGGAGCCTCTATCAGTTGTTGCATGAGGAACTTGACCATTGGGGTAATGGGCATTCCAAATAAGCTTGACCCATGGAATTTTCTTTTTATTGTAGAACTTGTCCAAATGCTTTAATAGAAGGGCCTTGTTCTGACTCCTGAGATTAATAATTCCAAGGCCTCCTTTTCTCTTGGGCTTTGCACATTTCTTCCAAGCCACAAGGGGTTTCATTTTGGCATTGCTATTGGACCCTCTCCAAAGACAATGTCTCCTTGCTCTATCTATGTAGTCCAGGACAGTGGCTGGGACTTGTAGGGTACACATGGCAAAGGTGGGGAGGAAAGATAGGACCGAGTTGACCAGTTGAAGTCTTCCAGCGTGAGTCAAGAAGTTTGAAGTGGCAGTGAGTTTTCTTTCAATTTTACTCATAAGAGGTTCAAAATGATCAACCCTAGGCTTTGTGGTACCCAAAGGTAACCCTAGGTAGGTGAAGGGCAAGGATTCAATCTTGTAGCCAAATGCCCTAGCCAAGAGATGGCCTTGTTGTCGGAAAGATTCAAGGGGACTAGGCATGACTTGTTGTAGTTGACCCTCAATCCAGTTGATTGTGCAAAGGATTCCAATAGTCCTTTCAAGGTAAAAAGTTCTTTCTGGGATGCTTTCATGACAAGGAGGGTGTCATCAGCGTATTGTATTATTGGGTATTGATCAAGCTCATAAGAGGGTATGGGAAGTTCAAACAGGCCATTTCGTTATCCTTTGTTGATGATGCACTATAACAGATCCGCAGCGAGGACAAATAAAAGGGGTGACAAGGGGTCCCCTTGTCTGACCCCACGACGACAATGAAAATGATTACCAGGGACCCCATTGAGCAGGATAGAGGAGGTACCAGAAGCAAGAATTCTTTGAATCCAATCTAACCACTTATCCTCAAAGCCCAAGTGACTCATCATCTGTATGATTGTATTGTGCTCTACTGTATCAAAAGCCTTCGTGAAGTACAGTTTTAGAATTACAATTTCCCTCTTAGAGTGTTGACACTAGTATATGTATTCATAGGCCCAGGCAAGACAGTCTTTGATTGTTCTTGTTTTGATGAAGCCGTATTGGTTTGTGTGAACCAGAGGGATAATCTTTGTCTGCAACCGATCAGCAAGTAGTTTTATGATCTTAAGTACACAGTTTAGAAGGGAGATGGGCCTAAAGTCATTTGTACTTGTTGGGTTGTGCACTTTTGGGACCAAAGTGATAAAGGAGCAGTTTACAGATTCCAAGTCTAGAGTACCATTGAAGAAATCAAAGCATAGGGTATAGATATCCTCTTTTATTATGTCCCAGCATCTCTTAAGGAACAAACCATTAAAGCCATCTGGGCCTGGAACTTTGTCAGCCGGCATTTGCTTGATTACCTTATCGATGTCCAGGGTGGAGAAAGGCTTGGATAGGTGTTCTAGGTCATCACTTGGTTGAATCAGCTCACTGAGATTGTAGAGCATTGTTGAGTTGGAGGAACATCCCATTCTCTTTTTGTACTCCTCAAGCAGTAGAGTAGCTTTCTCATTGTGGTTTGTGACTGTTCTACCATCATCCGTTTCTAGACTAGTGATGGTGTTCAATCTATACCTTTCTATGGCAGCAGCATGGAAGAATTTTGTTCCTTCATCTCCCAGCTTAGTCCATCTCACAGTGTATCGTTTTTTCCAATATTCTTTTTTATATCTAAGCAATCTGAGGATATGGGCTTTTAGGATTGCTCTGAAGTTATATTCCTGAATGAAAAGTGTTCTTTGCTCCTCTAGACATTCCAAAACTTCTAGAGTACCGTTACAATTCTTGAGTAGGTTGTTGAGGTTTGATAATTTTTTGCCCCACTTTTTTAGAGCAGCCCTTAGTAGCTTGAACTTGGCAGAAATTCTTGAAGCACTATTTGGAGCATTAACTTCAGTGGCCCAGACAAATTTGACAAGATAAAAAAAACCAGGATGATCAAGCCAGAAGTTTTCAAATCTAAACACTTGGGCCTTGGGGATGGAGGTGCCGATTTGAATCTTGCAAGGAATATGATCAGAAGTTGGCCTGGCCATTGGGAGGAGCAGAGTATTTGGGAGCTCAGTGATCCAGTTGACAGAGGTGAAAACCCAGTCAATTTGTTCTAGAAGGGGTTCATCTTGCATATTGCTCCATGTGAATTTTCTTCCTTTGAGTGGGATCTCAAGGAGCTCCAGATTGCTGATTATTTCATTAAAGATCATAATATCATTCATGTTGCCCCCACCTCTATTTCTATCAGAAAGCGATCTGTAGAAGTTGAAATCACCCATTATCATCCAGTTATCATCTTCCACAAAATGGAGGTTGTTGAGCCATTGGACAAATTCATCTCTGTCAGGTCCTTGGCAAGGACCATAAACTGTGGTGAGGGTCCACATCTGGCCGTTATGGGTGGAAGAGAAATTGACAGTTATAGAAAACTTGTTGATCTGAACAACTTCACCCTTAAATACAGAGCTATTCCAACCCATTAGAATACCACCAGAGGCACCATCAGGAGGTGAAAATGCATATTTATTGAAACGTTTGGGAGCAAGCTTCCTAATGAAGGAGTGGTCGAAATGATCTCTCTTGGTTTCCTGAATGCAGACGACAGCACATGAACTCTCATCAAATTTTTCCTTAATAGCATTACATTTGTCATCTGAATTGATGCCTCTAATGTTCCAGTTGAGAATGTTCCAACTTCTGTTTAGTCCACCAGCAACACTATCATTTGAATTTATATGCATAGGGCCTTCAAACGTCATTCCTGCTTGTGCCTGCTTCAGTTTCAGGCCCAGAGGTGAGGAGAAGCTCAGCTGTCACCTCCGAAGGAGAAATGCAGCAGGTTTCAATTGCCATCTTCTGAATTTCAACTATGGGCATTTCAGGGAAAATAGCACCCATGTCGTTAAACTTGGCAATAGTAGAGAGACCAGGGAATTCAGATGCTTGGCTAGTAAGACAGAGAAGAATGTTACCCAGCAGATCAGCCTGAGGTTGGATCCTCTTGTGCTTGGTCTTGTTCTTGGTGGCTACTGTCTTCAAAGAAAAAGTTGCAGGCCTGTATCCATTATTCATCTCAATGAATCTTGGGCTTCTTCTGAGGTCTTCTCGTCTCTGCATGCAGTACTGCCGAAGATCAAAAGCTCACTGCACTCTGCACCGGATGAGCCGCCTCTGCATGCAGTACTGCCGAGTTCTTCTCGTCCATGGCCGAGTTCGCCACCACCTGCTGCCGCTGCCGGAACCTGGCTTACTAGTCCACTCGTGCCTCCTACACACTGCTGTCCAATGAAGAACACGTGCCGTCTTCACAAACAGTCCACGTTAATCTGCGGCCTCGCTGGCTATGCGCCCATGCCCATGCTTGCTTGGACTGTGGTAATGCATCTTGTAACAACTAACAACTGTGGGTGAGGTGTGGCGTATGTAGCTAGTGTCAACCAATGAACGCTTGTATAATTGCCAAAGATTATTACATGGAAACTATTGTTTCCTAGTACA